AAAATGCTGTAATTTTGACCTTTGTGGTTGTGGTCTTAACCTTTGTTAATGATTTGTTCATGATCAGATTGTGGTTTGGGTTTAGACACAGAATCTGTCACAGAACACTTGTCCAGCGCAGTACGTGTGGGAGAACACTCCTGTTCATGTTCATTGCATGTTCAGTTCACCGTTAACAACACAACACTGGCCACTGGCAGCATTGTATTCAGCTCTCTTAATACATCCATGGCTTCAGCATGTGGAGACATCCAAAGCTCGACACACCTGCCTAATTATGGTTGCTAAGCTATGATTGGAGAATTGTTGTTCGGGGGAAGGGGTTAAGTAAATGATTCATTGCACTTTAGGTTTTGTTACCTTTTCAACATTTTTCAACCCTGCTATGACCAAATAAACAGCAGCTTTGTGAAGCTGACAGTAGATTTGTTTTGTTTAAAGTGTTATATAGAAGTGTGAGAGCTTGAGGGTAGACCTTTGGGGTCTGTAGCAGCTACCAGAGTGGCTGTTGGCGAGCATTGGATTTTGACTGTTTACACAGTCTGTCTGGCAGATATCATGACAGTTTCTCTTGTTACATCACATAAATCTGCAGTTCAGGTACCTTATAGGTAACTACATCATTTTTTTCTGTACGCTGTCTCTCAATGTAGAAGTAGTCATAGTACAGTTGAGTGTTAATTGTATTAATTTAATGAAGTTAATGGTGTTTCATATTTCATATTTATAGGATCTAAGACCATTTTCTGTTATATAACATATTTGGAAATTATACATGTGGAGTTGGAAGTTAACAAAAACCCTTGTTTAAACTGACCACACTTTTCCCCCAGATATATTTTAAACATCTATCTAATCCAGGTAATGTTTTAGTGTTACTTAAAGGACAAGGCTGGCAAAATTCTATATCTTTATTAATGCCAGCAAATCTCATGAAAAGACTGTCTCTCAGTGCTTTTTAACTTTCCCAGCCTGTCAGTGGCACTCACCCCCAAGCTCATTTGTTACATTTCTTTTGGATGGAAAACATGTCTAAAAATGTTACTATAGAAAACAAAGAAGAAAAATTTTCATGAAAAGTCCAAACAGGAACAAATGATGTGGGGACAGATAATTGTTTTCCAGCACAAGACTCCTTTTGATGAATGTCTCATTATAATCTGGAGATGATGGATGTGAGTCAGATAAAGCCTTGTGTTTATATGTGACTGTTTAGGCAAAATGAGGGTTATGAGGGCCTTTCAATCCTATTCTTTGCACAGTGAGGTGTAACGGTTTGGAGTGAAAGGTTTTAATGGCTTTCAGTTGTTATTATTTTGTGTGTTATGACAGCTTGATTGGGCCTGCGGTCTTCTTTCATTGCTGTTCCATTTGCATGCACCTCCCTTTGCCTCCTTCCACAGCTTTGTGTTGTTATGGTAATTTTCATGAAGTAGATTGCATCTAGGTAGCTGCTCCACTTGCGTCCTGTCTATGGGAGAAGCCCGGAGCAACAGCATAATAATCATAATGAACACATATCTACTGTGTGCGAGATTACAGTTAGGATTTCATTTAGGGTTAGAGTTCATTTCATAGCAGCACTCCAGCTATCAATCGAGGCATTTCAACAATTTAGGTGCCTCTCTGGCAAGCTGAAGTGCCTCCCTGGTGTGACATTAAGGCAAAAATGAAGTGTGTAGTTTTAGAGTACAGTGTTCACGAATGTTACTTCTGTCTATTCTACACACATTGCATGTCTGTCTGTCCTGGAAAAGGAATCCCTCTTCTCTTGTGTTTTCTTGAGATATCTAAGTTGGTCTAAGGCAAGGCAAGGTAGGTATTTGTATAGCACATTTCAACAACAAGGCAATTAAAAGTCCATCCATCCATCCATACATCGTCAACTGCTTATCCTGCGTGCAGGGTCACGAGGGAAATTAAAAGTACTTACATAAATCATAAAACCAACTTAGGAAAATATAAAAAAGACATTGAAATAAAAACAGGATAAAACAGGACAGTAAAAGTTACAGTGCAACGTAAATTATTAATCTACAGCCTTAAATTTGATTTAATTAAAGGAAGTGGTAAAAAGAAAAGACTTCAGTCTTGATTTATAAGAACTGAGAGTTTCAGCAGACCTGAATCTGTGGACAGAAAGCAGACCTGTCCCAGATGATGTGACAGGTCTGGATGGTTCATTATGTAACAGAAGATCAGCAATGTTTAATGGCCTAAACCATTCAGTACTTTATAAACCAACAGTAGTATATTGAAATCAATTATTTGACAGACAGGAAACCAGTGTAAAGACCTCAGAACTGGACTGATGTGATCCACTTTTTTGGTCTTAGTGAGTACTCTGGCAGCAGAGTTCTGCAACAGCTGCAGCTGTCAGCTGTCCTACTGAGACATAAGTCCTTTAATCTTTGATACATTCCTCAGGTAATAGTGGGCTGACTTTGTAATTGTCTTAACGTGGTTGCTAAAAGGTCTGAGTCCATGACTACACTAAGGTTTCTGGCATGGTTTCTGGTTCTTACCAAGGACAGAGGTTGAATGGGATTGTAAAGACCTTTAAGGCAAATTGTTATTAAATTTGGCAATGTAATAAAAATTGACTTAACTTGAAACAAAGCATGGAAGTGTCCCATTAGGGGAAAACACCCTGGCAAAATAAAGGTTTGAAAATTAAACAGCTATAAACCACAGCCCAGTGTCCTAGGAGTTATGTTCTTATTTTACAATTCTCCACCTCCTGATCCAATGCCAACGTTCAGAGGCAAAACAGGAATTAGTGCGTTCTTTGTGTAGTGAGGCAGAAAGTAAGAATGTCAGGGGTGTATGAGACCGGTCGAATGAGACTGGAGTTTGTTTTATCACAGACCTGCAATTAATGTTTGCCATTTTATTTACTGTACCCACAATCTTTGCCTAAAATGAACCTAACCCTAACAATAGTTTAACAATAATTTATTTGCCATAATCCCGATATTTCTCAAACCTTAATCATATTAGAGTTGCCATTTGTAGATGTTGTAAAAGGCGTGAATTTCTCTCTACAACTGCTGAAGTCAGTAGTTATGCCTTAAACATGAATATAAATACCCTAATAAAACAGTTAGTTTTACCTGTATAGTTGCAGAATCCACACATACAAGTAGCAACATCGTCTTTGCTACAAGTAACAGGTTTGATGGGAAATTCAAATTCAAAGACACATTTCAATTACAATGATATAATGAGGTATTTATAGTACGAAATCAGTTCTGTTTTCTGCATCTGCAGGAGTGTCATTGAGATGTTCTCCATTTGAGCAGCTAACCTGTGGCTTTTCGTCTTGGTGAGTTTTTTTTCCTGAGTCTTGAACATACAAGTGCAGCTCTTGAAGGAATAATAACACGAGTTTGCACTGCAGCTCAAAAAACTAATTCACAACTGCAGTTGCCCATGAGTTAGACAGGTGAGAAATTCAAACCTGTGGAGTGAACATAACAATCTTCTGCAACCCAGCTCCACTAACAGTCTACATCACTGCCTTGACCAAAATGATCAAAATGATAAAACAGCAAGCTGTGCATCATTGATATATATATATATATATATATATATATTGTATTCCAACAATTATACTGCAAATGAATTTAAAAAGCAAAATCATCACACATCTTACAAAGCCTATTCAATACACGTCCTGGGAAAGCTGTTGTGAATATTTCTATTTTTTATTTTCCCTCAACTGAAACTGCAGTTTCCCTGCAGCCCTGTGTGCATCTGCATACCTATTTCCAGCACAGTGAATGTGCCTGCCTCGAGTGTATGTTTGCATATGTGTTTGCATGTCTGCAGACTTGTGTATTTTTGCTTTACAGTATGTGTTTGTGTGTGTGTGACAAGGACTCATGAGCCCCAACACCTGACGTGGGGCCAGTGAGGAGTAGCAGCCATCTGGTCAGCCCTGAGGGAGTGCGTCGGCCACCCAGAGCTGCTAGACCCTAACAGGTAGGCTGTCTGACATCTCTAACTCATCTCCAATCCACCAAACGACAGATAATGAGGGGCAGACAGCTGGCCGAAGGACCATGTGTGGACCCCCTCCACCCCCCCATCAGCACCAGGAAAACTGTCAGAAGTGCCTGCTGAGCTTTTCAGCAATGTAAGCAGTTCTGCGGTAGTAGTGAGTAGTGAGTTTCATGTGGACACATTGTTGGCTGGCTATGTGTGTGCAGTAAATTTCCTTCAAAGGCAGGGGTATCCAAGCGTCATACAATACATCCTCTTACTCAGTAGTCGTAGCCACACGTGTTGTGAACGTTTACCTGAAGCAAAAAGAAAACACAACCTAATAATGAGACTTCCCCAGTAAAACAAAGGCCCTGTATCACAGCTTTGTGTAAGGAAGATGTGTGGTTACATCATTCAGCCTACAGATGGCAGTATTTCAAAGGACACATAGGTTGCAAGCTGTTGTGCATTTATCTGGACTTCTGAATGGAAATTAAACCCACATGAATTCACCATAAAATGTGTTAATGGTTACATTACTTACTTCCCTTACTTAAAGTCAGTCTGGGTGAATGGGCCTGACTAGCAAGTTAGCAGCTGTAACATAATGTCCTTCAACATTCTTCCAAAGCACATTTTACATTTACTTCAGAGGATGTGTGGATACAAGATAGCAATCATTTGACAAATAGACCAATTTTAGACACTGCCATTATCTTCATCCTGTGCGCTGGTGATAACATAGGCAGCTTTTTATATATATACAGCTATATTTGAATGATACACATATTTCTGTTGAACCTATATTAGCTACATGTATTAAATTACATAAAAAGACCTAAAAGACATAAAATGTATTGCAAGTTGTGCCAAAGGATGACGCGACGGAGGTTGGGTCTAAAAGCGCACACTGTACGTGAGATGCAAGTGAACTGATGGGTGACTTCATGTATCACCGGCATCCACACCGAGAGAGAGAGAGAGAGAGAGAGAGAGAGAGAGGTTGTGCGCCAGCCTGTTACAGAACATGATCAATCCCTGAAAGAGGCGGGAGGGTGACTTGATACCGGCTCCCTCTCAGCGGCTGACGGAGAGATGCTCGCTGCTGTACAGATGACTTTGCCGGCTGTGCGTTAGGGTTAGGGTTAGCGCGTAGAATAAATTACCAGTTTATCTCGCTGCATTTTGCGTCCAAACACATTCACCGACTGACTGAGAGGCAGGACGCTCCCACCAAAATCCCAGCTAAATAACTGGATCTGCTCTATTCATGAATGAGTCTCTTCTTATTTCAAGGTGAGTAGTCCATCCTTTACTGAACAGCAGCCTGTAGTGCAGCCCAACAGTGTGCAGAAGGGTAAAGTTGGATAGACTTTATGTGCCTGGGAGGCAGAGAAACACCTCCAGTGACATTGTGCACTCTGAATGGAGGAATAATATAAAATGTTGCATGAACAAATTATGAAATAATTTCTTTGCTGGCCACCTGTAACAACTAACAAATGTGGACTGATGCTCTGAAGACAGAGCAACTGTAAATGCCTCGGCCATAGTACCCCAGAGGCAGACAGGAGGCAGAGCACTGTGTAGGTTTGGTGCAAATGATTGCATTATCAGAAGATTTCACTCTACTTTAGACAAAGCCTTCTATAGCAGCCTGCTTGTGCTGATTTTTTCCGGAACTCTTCAGTGGATAATTCTGGATTAGCCTAGAGATAGTCAGTCCTCCACTGCTGCCCTGCCTTCTGCAGCCGGAGCTCGTGCAGCCTTGGCAGCCTGGGCAGAGCAGAAGCCACTGGGACGCTGATAAGTCTGGGCAGGCGCTGAGATGGAGCCTGAGCCTGAAAGAACTAAAGCGCACACACAGCTGTAGCAGTGCCAACCTCAACAATGCTGTTGACCAAGTGAATCTTTGTGCGAGCCCCCCGTCTGTGTGTGTGTTTAGTAGTAGAGGGGGTGAGGACGGCGGTGGAGGGCACCCCTCATGCAAACCAGATGAACCCCTCTTCTCTGTCTATGCTCTTTCTGGTACGGCTTATCTGACCGGCCAGTTGGACTAGCTTTTATTCTCCTGGCCCCCCCAGAGTGGGTAAAGCCTCTCATGGAGAGAGAGAGCGTGAGAGAGAGAGAAAGATTGGCTTCTCTTTTGCCATGTTCATGCCAGTCATGCGCTGGTACTTTATCAGTTGCCTGCTAATTTTAGAATTTAAATGAATCTTCATATTAGTTCTCTCTCTCTCTCTCTTGCTGTGTTTGACAGCAATAAATGAAGCTGAGGTTTGGGTTGTAATTATTGCTGTTCATCTAAGGAATGTTAGCAATATAGTTGAGGGTTTATCAAACTAAACTCCTAAGTAAACCTGTTTTTAAAGGGTCAGTTTAACCTAATACAAAAAGACATATTTCCCCCCTTACTCCTTGTGGTTTCTAGCCATGAAGATACTTTTGGTTTTAAATGCTATGGCTTCAAGATATTTGCCTCTGATATTTCTGCTTCCAGTCTCTAAAAATTGTCCTTAGGTGTGAATGTGAGTGTGAGTGGTTGTTTGTCTACATGTGGCCCTGCGATGGACTGGCGACCTGTCCAGGGTGTACCCTGCCTTTCGCCCGATGTAAGCTTGGGATTGACTCGAGCCCCCCCGTGACCCTTTACGCAGGATAAGCAGTTGACGATGGATGGATGGATGGATGGATTTCTGCTTCCACACCAACACAACGAAGTGGCATGTTTGAATGACAATTTTCGTTTGTATGACATTTGAAAAACAACTGTGGAGATTTCCACAGACCTTACTGTTATCAGTTTGGCTGGAACTACTTTTAAAGAAATAATTTTGATGAAATCTGAGGTCTGTGGATCAGTGTAACCTGGTTTCTAGAACGATGAGTTTCTGTTGAGGTTTTCAAATGTCATTTTTCAGTGCTTTGAGGGCCACAAACAAATTTTCACCTGTTGTTTTTAGGCAGCGACTGAAGTTACAGAGCAAGATATTATAATATATATAATTTAATGGTTAGACACTACTTGGGTTAAGAGACAAATTTTTTTTCTAATTTTCTCGCCCTTTAAGATCATATAGTCAGACTGATCCACAGTAGATCTAATAAAAACAGGACAAGTCCAACAAAATGAAGCACAAAAAATGGGTTTCCATTGAATTGTTTATTGATTTCAATTAGCTGACTGTTGCATTTTTACCAGTTTTTGTAATGGTATTTGTCAGTGTAGAGGGACTGCAGGTGAAACTGCATCATTTGGAGTCCTTTGACCCTGGAGGCCACGCCAGATCAGTGTGGGAGAAGTAATTTAGAACATCTGTCTCTGTCACATTTACCCACAAACCATGAGTTAAGTGTTATCTCAGACTTCTACAGAGATTAATGCGCTATACTGTAGAAGAAGAAATCAGCAACACAACTATAAAACAGCTGCTAAAAACAGCTTTTGATTTAAATGACCACCAGTTCAATCCATGACATTGATTTTGGAGTAATTTATCAGGGTGCGCGATGTGGGTCAGGGGCAAAGGCAAGGCACAGTCGCTGCAATAGTACATAAGCTGAATTAGTGTACGTAACACAATTACACAGTGTGTGAGTGCACAGCAGCTCACTGCTACAACCCATAGCTGGAGACCCCCCACCTCCAACCCCCCCCACTGCTACCCCCGTTGCCCACAGAGACACTGATTAAACACGACTGTTCAGATGCGACAGCCCGAGGAAAGGGGAAGAATGGGAGCCCTTAGTGTTTGCGTATTGGGCCTGTGTTAGTGTTTGCGTGCGTGCATGTACTATGTGTGTGTGTGTGCGCGTATGTACACGTTTGCATTTACATTTAGTGTGTCATATATACATTAGACAGAAGGAGAGGAAATGATAAAAGGAGCAGAGTGATATGAAACCGACAGTGAAGGGAGAAAATAAGAAACGGAGAGGGACGATGGATGTGCTGTTGTCCTCAGTCTTTTCTCTCCTTCAACCCCCCTTTCAAACTTCACGCTTCCTCTTGTTTCACTGTGTGATCCAGGCCTGGAGGGAGGTGGATGTACAGGTAGATAAAGGTGGAGAATAGGGATGATAGAGGGGTTGAAAGAATATTATGAGTTGGAAAGACATAGGTAGCGGGAGAAAGAAAGACTTAAGACAGGACTAAAGAGAGAAAGAGAGAGAAAGAGAGATGCTGACAAACAGTGAAGGAGAGAAATGAAAGGGAGGAGAGGTACAAGTGGAAAGCGTGCAACTCACCTGCCAGATGGCAGCTTTGGCAGCGCTCAGCGTGCAGTGATGGCAGTCTTGCAATATGGCGCATTGCCTCCAGATTGTCACACCGTTGTTGATACAAACAGTGCAATAACTTTGCTGATGTGTGTGTTTTGCATGATTTTCTCTGGCACTGGTGTAAGCAGACAGCATATGGTCATAAACCCTCCCCCGGTAAAGTTGAAGGAAGTCAAGTGTTTTTTGTTTTTTTCTTGGAAAATATTGACACATGACTTTTTCAAATTTGAAGAGTTTGTAATCTCTCTTTTTTCTTAAAGGGGCACTCTAGTGATTTTACACAAGGTTTAGTTTACTCATCATGAGAAGTACCAGTCAGCTCATGAAAACAGTTTAATAATGTTTTTGAAACATCATTGAAAGTCTGAGAAAATAGCCCCAGTGATCAAGGTTATCTCAGGTTGGACTTGGAGATTACAGATTTTAACATAAAGGAGGGAAGGTCTAACAAAAGATATTATCAAGTTGCATTGTGTGAAATGTAGGATCTAGTGTTGACGAGTTAGGGACAGAAAGTCATGATATCTTTGCCTCTTTAAAAATATGTCTCTTGCAAGTCCCCCAACTTTAGTGAAGCACAATGATAAATGCTAAACTACCAGTGGTTCATGTCAGGTTTGCATAGTGCCAGCCTTTAAAAGCTTAATTTTTTATTTCATACATTACATGCTGAAGGAACTAAGAAATAGAAGTCTGAAACATTGAAATTAGCTATCAATTAAAATGTGACAATTTAATATAGAAATATTAATGCAAATACTGGCCATGGAAAATGTGTTATATGACATGGAAAATGTATGGAAATTGGTAGTTAATGTAGTTGAACCATGGCAAATCTATCACTTAAAACCTTCTATTTCCCTCCATTTCAACAAATGCCTCCAACTCAAATAGTTTTCCATTTCTAGAAAATGAAATTACTTTCTTTATGGCATGTCATTAGAAGTAGGAGAAATTCCCATTAAATAATAACATCAGTGTCTTTTTGAATAACCTCCACATTCACTGGCCCTTTCACATAAAACCTGAGAAAAGAACATGAAGCGCAGTTTTGGGTATTCGCCCATAAAAACTGTTTACTTTTCCTAGAACAGTGGATCTGCATATTGCTGAAATTTAACCATTTTGAAGAACTAGTGCAGTGCCTGCTCGGAGCACGTGTCTGTTTGGAACTGGCTGGATTGCTTGGCCCCAGGAAGTGCTGCTTGCAGCATTCTAGAGAACAGTCCAGCCGATCGACTTGACACTTGACACTGCACTCCCTTGGGTCCTCAGCAATACGCCTGCCTAAGTGCGAAGTCGATCAGATGAATGTTTCTCGTGATATGCAAAGGACAGTCATACACACATACATACAGACAGAGAGATTCCTTCCTTTATAGTTACATGTTGTATGTTTGCACATCTGGGCTCTTAAAAATAGTAGGACTGTGTAGCATCTTAGCCTAACTATCTTTGCTGTCTACCAGCAATGGCTAACCTAGCAATTATGAGTATTTGCAACTTGTTCTATTGACATTCTTACTCTACCGACAACAATCTATTGCTTTTCACTTTCTTCTGACAAATGTACTTACTGTAAGTCGCTTTGGACAAAAGCTAAATGCCCTACATGTAAATGTAAATGTTGCTGCTACAGCACCACCTATTGGTCAAATGGCATCAAATCTGTCATAGTCATTCAGACATATTTATATGTATTCACTAAATGTGGTTGTAATAGCACAGAAAAGATTACATTTTTGTAATATAAGCCCTGCCCCACAGTATTCGAGCAAACTTTGAGGGCCAGCTATAGCAAGACTGTATGGAATATAAATAAATCTGAAAAACTGACTTTTTGTTCAGCTTGGCTCCATGTTCTCTACCAAATTTAGTGACGATAGATCAAAATTTGTATGAGAAGTAGCAAAATCAATCTAGACACAAAAGGGCGTGGCTTTTATGGATATATTTGTCTGGATTCAATTTTGTTTTTGAGATTTTAGTTTTAAAAGTAAGGCCAAAAACAAACATTCATAGTTTTAGCGCCACCATTTGGCCAAATTCGACACCCGCCAAGTGTGAAGTCAAGAAATTCTAAGGGTAGACATACAGTCAAGAAGAAAGAGACAGACAGACAGACAGAGATTCCTTATGTCATGATTAAATTAGCTGTAGAATTTATGAAAGTTTCAGGTTATCGATAAAGAAAAAACTTGTTTCAAACCAAAAGCACCTGTTTTAAACCAAATGAACTGAATTACAGAAGGAGCACACCACTGAACTGAATGTTAAATCTTAATGCCACCATTTGGCAAGCGAACACCTGCTGAATGAGTTGCTTGGGCTGGTCTTAGAAAGAAAGTAAGTCATCAGTTATCTATAACGTCCCTGAAGCCCAGGACACCTGGACAACATCGGAGATTGCTACAGTAGTGTTTAGCCCTTGGCAGCCACAAACTAGGTGGGATAGAACTAACTTAATAGACTTGGAGAATGCAATATTAATTTGAGGATTATTGTATTCGCTGTAAATTCCTTACTATTTTCCCCAGTGTGTGCTATCCCTTAAGGAGTTTTCATGAAAAAAAGATTTCAACAGTCTGTCCCCCATTTGCCTTTCGGTGATTTTCTATTTGAGTGAAATTCACCTGTGTTTGCAGTCCTGGTAGACCTCTGGCCCACTCAGGGACTGTACTTTTAACCAGGCTATTTCTATTTTGAGAAAATTTCTATGCAAAAAATCTCATTCAGAGACTTAGGAGACAGGATAGAGTTTCAGAGTAGGTTAGAATTAGGGACAAGCCGGGATGGGCCAACCATGGAGACAGACTGAGATAATCTAGGCAGATGCTTGTATTTGTTCAGCTTTTGGGTGAATGGCCACCAAAGGCCTTATTTGCACTGCGGATTAAATGTTAAATGGGTTTTGGAGTAGCAGATACTTAGAGGGAAAGTTGTCAAATACTAGAACATGCACCATCTCTCCTCCTCTTTCCTGTTTCTCTCTTCCTCACTCGCAGTCTATTGCTGCCTCCTTATGCTCACAGTGATTTGTCAGCAGTAGAGGTAGCAGCTGTTCCTTTTGCATTGTAATTTCTTTGATCGTAATTATTCATGCCAGCTACCTCCAACCTTGGCATCTTCCACCCCATGCAGCCATATGGGCAAAGAGGGAGAAAGCCGAGGAAACATACAGGCTTCTTTGGAATAAGTTCTTTGATTTCTATGTGCAGTGGTGTGGGAATTACGGACATATGTGCTTCACAGCTTCACATGGATGCACATGGATCACTGTGTTTGATTAGTGTTCTCATTCATACGCTCGCTGGGGTCCGGTGTCTGCCAAATGTAATGTATTTTCCCTGTCAGGTCTCCATGATTTATGCATGCAATAGCAATATAGCCCAGCACATCTGTAACTGCATCAGTCTAAGCAGAAATATAGCTTTGTTCTACAGAAAGACCAATGTCAACTCAAACAAAAAAAGACTGAAAATCAGAAGATGGGAACAGACAATACAGTTACAGCCATGCTAGGGGCTGAATATCAGGCTGGTAGTTATTAAGCCATATAAAAAATGAGAGTAAAAAGTGCTCTTACGGTACAAAAACACAACTGGCGAGGTGTTCTGTACTGGGCTAGAGTAGAGCTCACACAGCTTCGCCACCCTCATTTCCTATTCCCCTCAGCTGCCCTGTCCACAGATCACTCTGAGGCCCGGTCGGACTGCTCTGTTTACCCCTTGTTCTTCTTCTTGCACTTAAGCGACGTTGAGGATGAGGGGTGCTGGGCAGTTGCTGCAGCACAGCTCACACACACATGCTGTGTGGTTCCAAAGAAAACGCAGCTTGCTCTGTCTTCTTCTGCAGTCGCTGAATTATAGAAGACCCTCTATTGCACTCGAGCTGCATGGGTTTTCATCACAGTGCTGGAGGTCACTTTGACTTTCCCCTCTACGCTCATCATATATGCAACACGAGGGCTTTGGCAGTCGAGAGGAGCCTGCTTGGGGTCACCATTAACCAGGGAAGACCGACAATGAGATTTATGGAAGAGGAGACAGAGCTGAGAAGAAGGAAGGGAGGAGAAAGGCATGCATGGCTAAATCTGACTGTGGCGGCAGTGCCCTTCATCTGGTCCCTGCTCTTAACAGCAATTTCAGATATAGTACTGTATCTGCATGTATAATGCATACAGCAAGATAATGGCATGCATTGCAGAGGAGGCTGCTGACTGTGTTGTCGTGATGTGTTGGAATTGGTCCCCCATGTCACATTTGCCTCTGCCCAGGTCCCTCGCAGCATCCTGTAGTTATTAAGAGCAGAGCACGTTGTGATGACATAGTGCTGTTTTACTGTTCCCTGCAGACATCTTCCGCTGCTCTACCATCAAGATTAGTGGCTGGCTGGAGAGTCCTAAAGCGTCCAATATCAGCGCTGACCAATAAACTACACAACAAGAATGGAAAGAAGGCAATTATGGTTTGTTTTTGTTAATATAAAATTATGTTGGGTCCCACAGACATGCTGGAAGAGCTGCCAACAAAACTAAATGAATTTACAGCAATTTACACTTGTTTCCAGAGAATACCAGCATCACAAAGTGTTAGAATCATTAATCTAAATAGTATGCTCTACTATATTGGTTGTAAGATGGTTTCCCCCTGACTGAGAGAAATGTCGGGGGGAAACACTGCTCTTTGAATTTACATTGTAGAACATGATGAAAATTAACCACAGGCCAACTGCCACGAAATTTCACTGCGTGGCATCAAAGTGGAGATATCCTGTGGGTATCTGCAGTGTGAGCATTCACGCTACACATCATCCCCTCTGAGGCTCGAGTCTGTGTTTCTGTGAAAGGGCCTTACGCGGCGGAGCCAATTGCCCTGGGCTGCCCCTCCACAACGCTGCTACAGATAAAACACGGTGGACTGATCACAAAACATTTCTTTTCCTATTAAACCCCACCGGTCCCTTGTGATTCAATATGACATTCATTTATAAGTCATCTTTAATAAAGACGGCATTTTCATGTCCTAATTCCTCGACTCATCTCTGTAGGTACCAGCGACAGCCTCTGGCTCTGGCTTGCTGTCTCCCTCCTCCCTACTGTCTCTGCCACGTTTGACCTACTTCTGTCTCCACAACATTGTAAACAGATCTACTAATTGCCTTCATTTATTCATTTCCAAGTCAAGTTATGTTGCGGCTGGCGCCCTCCCAGCTCATTCATGTGTAATGTGTACAATGCTGGCCCTACCCCCAATGAGTCGTCCATGCGTATTTGCTGAAAACCCCAGATAAAAGTACCCCATCAGGCCATGTGACTTTACTGTATATACTCTAAGTGCAAACATTGTACAGTACATTACCAGCCTGCGCTGCAGTGAAAACTTTTTATACTCTACTTTCAACTTCCATTAGCAGCCCTGTCTTCAACTTTCAAACACAAAAAAACAATGGGTGTTTCGGGCAAGCTGACTTGTAATCAAAAGGACAGAAGCTGTTATGATTATCGTAGTTCAGATGCTTTGCCGCCCCCGTGGTCTTATACTCTTATTGCTTTTGGGCCGCCTTATAAATCTAGGCCACAAAAAACAACAGATGCCAGTGACAATGACTCCCATTGTTGACTAAGTGTGAGAACAGAGATGTTTCTTCTGACCTTTAGAAAGATCATGTCACAGTCTGTTGACAGTGTTCCCAATCTCACACAAATATATAATCCAAAAAGTAAACAAGTTAAACTTGAACACTATGCTTTTCATGCTAAATCTGTGTCTATGTCTTTTAAGTGACAAGACCCTGTTGAGTCATCTTATTGCTGGTGTTTGACAATGTAATATCCTTCAAATGTGAATGCTTCAAGAATACTGAATTATTCACGACAGCTAATTTGAATTTCAGTAAACTTACTACAATTTATGATTTTTACCACCAAGAAAAATGTTTGCTGACCTGTTTGTTAATCACTGACGAAACACATCTTCATGGTATGAAACTTGAGAGAGCAGTGAAAATGATGCACATGAGCAGCCTAACAAAGAAATATGCCCTGTGAACATTTTAGTTCATCCCTGATGGCAGATGGGTCAAACAAACGAGATAGAAAAAAGCTAACCATCCCTTCTGTCCCATGAATCATGCCTAACAGGGCGCTACAGAAGCTATGACAGCTTTCACCCCAATAAAAGCTGAACCCAAAGGATGAATTTGGTTCCACAGATCTCAATCCAGGTCAAAGGGTCGTGTTTGTGGAGCACAAGCGGCTGCCTTCTCCCTCCTCTGCGCTGTGATTGGTGCCCGCTGAGAGCTTGCGTCCCCAGAGGCCTCAGCAAACTATGTTCCTGTGTGTGAGTGTGAATGAGTCACGTCTGGGCTGGAGCGTGTCTGAGTGGTGAGGCGGGGAATTCAGCAGGGAGGACTGCGCAGGGCAAAGAGTTGTCTCTATAATCCAGGGTAAACACTGAGCAGCATGACTGCACGCCTTAGACGTGACCAAAGCCGAAGAACAGAAATGGATGAAACGATGAGGAAGCTGCTTGCCTGCATGCCTGCCTGGCTCCCTTTGCCACCAGCACTTCCTCTTTTCTCTTCTTGTTTTTCCTCCCTGTTCAGTAATTCCTCTGAGGGTTTGACTGGACACTCTCAACACTGATTAACCTCTGGGTGGCACTGCTGGTGTCTGTTGTTTAAGGTCATGCCAGACTCAAACCTGGCTTCGCAAATATCATTTGGTCTGCTATTTGCTGCCGGACCTCAAGAGCGTTGTCTTATTAGTTATTTCTAGTTGAGAAAAGGACAGCGTTTGAGGTTCTGATTACAGTGTGAATTACATTGCATGTCTTCACCTGGAGGTTTGCAGTGTGATTTGAACAAGCGAAATCTGAAGTAATGGGATTCTGTTGAATGTCACAAAGTAGAGACAGCCTTAGTTGAACTGGTAAACACAAAATCACTTTTCTGCTCCTTTTTGTGGCAGCTCAAGAACATGCACAAAGGATTGAGTCAGATTTTTGTGATCTAACCCGCCCACTTACAAATAGCTCTTTAATGCATTACATCCCATTCCACCATCCCCTTTCACACTAAAAAGCCTACATCAAAGGCAGAGCAGGAGAAAGATTTAGAAGAAAAGTTTGCAAAGGTAAAGGTTTCCGCTGACCACTGGACAATTTGATTTACTGAAAACAAACATGTGAATGCTGCAAAGAGTTTATATTTTAGTGTACACAGAGGCTGCCAAAATAAGGGACTGTCACTCCTTCCTCTGAAACATTTCAAAATGCCTGAATAGTCTTTTCATCGGGTTTTCACATGAAAAGGAAAAATGAAATCGTGGTTACATCAACACAGAAACGGGTTCAGGGACTCATCAGCTTGCAAAGCAGATGATTTGAGGGATTTTCAGAAGGAATTTGCTGGACACACACACATTTTGCCCAAAATAAAGAAGCTGTAAATATTAGAGCCAACATGTCCTGCCAAATCTAAGCTTTCTGAGAACTAATAAAAGCAAACACAGTTTTTGTGTCCAGTCAGAAAAGAAATGAAAAAAAGAGAAATGAAGAAGCTTCTGTGATCTAACATTTTAAGCAGAGAGAGATAAAGATAGAGCTAAGCAGAATGTGACTAAGGTTGATTCGCATAGGACTGACAAATAAAGAAAAGCAAACATAGAACTTCATCTTGAAAATCAGCTATACAACGTGTGACAGATGTTGCTTTTTGGTGGCCAATTACTGGCAGAGTTGCTCACACGGAGCCTGCCAAATTGAGCAGAGTAGGTCGAGACACTTGAGTGACTTCTCCCCTGGTGTGAGCGTGGCGAGGACAGATGGACAGGAGATGCTGCAGTGGAGCTGGAGTCGGCCCAGCCAGCTCAGTGTCAGTCCATCCGCTCTATCCCTGGCTACCGCTCAACTCAGCCGGACATCCTGTTAGTCAGCCAATGGAGAGCACCCACCATATCATGACCCCCACATTAGGATCTGACATGGCTGTCTCCATTTAACCTTTACTTATACCAGGAAGTCTCACTGAGAAAACACCCTGTTTACGTTAGCTCCAGCCAAAAAGACAGTTGCCTTTGATCTAAAGCCCAAGATATCTTTAGAGGAAAAATTAGTGCCATTTCACTGAAGAGTTTTGAATGATAAAAAAGTATTATAAGAAGAGTGTGAAGGGGCTGTTGATTTGGTAATGTAGAGGACAAACGGGGAGATTGGAGAAGCCTCTGGTGGCCCACAGACAGGATTTAGGGTGATGTAGGTGTCTTAATTTATGTCCCGTCCTCCTATGCAGGCAGTTTTATTAGTCCATTAATGGACTTGGATGAAGTAACGCCATATGTGAAAACCACTTTATCTATGATGCTTGTTTTGCCTTCACTAAACATCTGTCTTTATTTTGAGATAAAAACATGTTTTTTGTTCCAAATTAGCTTATTTTCTCTCAGCTGTATGAGAAACACCTTGCATCAAACCAAAACATAATAGTTATCACAAGGAGAAAAAAAACAGTCAACACATCAAACATCCTTTGTCTAACTCATCCATCCTCCATCATGTGTTTGAGGGACATTGTTTAATGTGAAATATCAACATAAAATATGCTAATGAAATTAAACAGGGAAGTGTGAGGGTTGATGCTGCCTGGCTCTGAATCTCTAATGACTCCCTGCCATCCCTGGAAAAAACCTGATTAATTTAGGAATGTCGGCCGCAGTGGAGAGTGATTAATTCCTCCTGGATTCAACCATTTAGACGAACAAGGCAGAGGGGAGAAAGGAAAACAAGGAGCCCAAAATATGGACACATAATTAATACATTTGGATCATTTAATTAGCCACCCAAACAGGGGGAAGGCACAGCTACAGTGTGGCAGAATTTGTTCAAGTAATAGACCACAGTTTGTTCTCTCTTACAGAGAGACGAATATAATGAGCCCCCCTGTTGATAGGGGGAATATTGGACCATCTCTCGGGCTAGTAAATATGAGGAGACAGTTTGAACAAATGATTACTTGTTTCTTTGATGTCTCATGTGTCTGACTAAGCAGAGATTGAGGGGAAAACAAGCACATACATTTCTAGGTTTCTAAGTGTCTAATGATACTGAAAGCAGTTTTTCACTCTCAAAGAATCAAGGATCTTTTGAGTTTCAAACAAATATCTCTCTTTTCTCTTTCAGAAATATGTGAAGATCACAAGACAGCACCTCAGTTCATCTTTTTCAGCACAATCCTGCTCCTTGCTGACACAAGATCCCAGGTGTTTTATCTGAGCTCGGTATTTTTCGGAGCCCTGTGGGGATGGGAACGTGCTTAGATGAAGGATGGACTTACTGTGGCCTCACTAAAGGTCACAATCCTCTTAAGGTCATGACATGGCCCCTGGCACTGTGGCTATTGACTCTAATCTCTGTGAATCAAAAGACAACTGTTGGACAGACTCTGAACACCTTCCAGTCAGAGAGGAAGGATTGGTCGCTGAACCACCTGACTGTGCATCAGTCTACGGGGGCTCTCTACGTTGGAGCTGTCAACCGAATCTACAAGTTGTCAGCTAATCTCACCCTCCTGGTGTCCCATGATACAGGGCCAGAGTATGACAACAAAGCATGTTATCCTCCACTGATTGTCCAGCCCTGTTCTGAGCCTCTTGCCTCTACTGACAACGTTAACAAACTGTTACTTATCGACTACTCTCACAACCGGCTGCTGGCCTGCGGCAGTCTCTACCAGGGCGTCTGCAAGCTGATGAGGCTGGATGATTTGTTCATCCTTGTGGAGCCTACGCACAAGAAAGAACACTACCTGTCCAGTGACAACCAGACAGGGACGATGTATGGGGTTGTTGTGCCCTCGCAGGGTCAGGATGCGACTCTGTACATAGGCACGGCAGTTGGAGGCAAACAGGACTACTTCCCAACCATCTCCAGCCGCAAGCTGCCTCGTGACCCAGAATCCTCTGCCATGCTGGACTATGAGCTTCACACTGACTTTGTTTCCTCTCTCATTAAAATCCCTTCAGATACGTTGGCTCTTGTCCCACACTTTGACATCTACTACATCTATGGCTTTGCCAGTGGCAGCTTCGTCTACTTCATGACCGTCCAGCCAGAGACGCCTGAGAATGGGATGCCCGCTGGCGGCTCCCCAGGCGACCTGTTTTACACCTCTCGCATTATCCGCCTCTGCAAAGGTGACAAGAAGTTCCACTCATATGTGTCACTTCCTGTGGGGTGCATACACAGAGGTGAGGAGTACCGTCTGCTGCAGGCAGCTTACCTGTCCAAGGCTGGAAGGGTTCTGGCAAAGTCGCTCAACATCAGTGCCCAGGACGACGTGCTCTTTGCCGTGTTCTCCAAGGGACAGAAGCAGTGCCACGACCCTCCAGATCACTCCGCTCTCTGCGTTTTCACCATCCAAGACATTAACACGCGCATTAAGGAGCGGCTGCAGACCTGCTATCAGGGAGAGGGAAACCTGGAGCTGCACTGGCTGCTGGGAAAGGATGTGCAGTGCACCAAAGCGGTAGGTGGATTGATTTTGCTTTCAACAGTATAACACAAACATGTTTAGACCAACCGTGAAGCCCACATGGTAGTGAGCAGCATTGATATAGATTTACTGAAAGTTGGCTTTTTGATGATCCACAACCATGATTGCAGCCTAAATAGCTGATAGGCAGGTGGCCAAAACTGTACTGAAGACGGCATTCAGGTTTTCCAGATCCCATGAAAGCAGAAGAGCTGGAGGAGATTAATTCCACAATGCTAATCAGAGGAGTTTGCCCCCCTCCCCACCATCTCACTCCCTCTACTCTTGTCGCTGTCAGCAGTATTTGAACCCTCCGAGACCTGTTCTTGATCTTGAGAAAAGGGCTTTCTTGTAAATGTCCAAGTCTGTGCCTTTGTAAAAGCTATAATTCTACATAATGAGTGTCTTTCATGGGAACAAGCTGAAAGCAAACCATGAAAACAATGATATTCATCACATCAATAGCTCTAGCGGTTCCAAACATGTACTTTGATTCCACCATGCCATCAAATAAATAAGATGTAATGTTATTCGGAAAACGAACTGACATAGACACATAATAATGCAATAATTAACTCTCATAGAGCAGTTAACCAAAGGTCTTTATGTCTAAAATGGACTGCAGGGGTTCAATTATGATAAGATGTCATAGATAAAGTTGTTCTTTGGTTACATGACTAATTACTCAGTGGAAGATCAACAGCCAATTGTGTCTACAGATGCAACGATTTTCTTTGTCAAGATTGTCAAGTGTCAAGATTTTAATGTGCCTTTCTTAAAATAATTAATAGTAATAATAACAAATACTTAAACATGACAATGTGGTTTTGTTATGTTGCTATACTGACACATGTTACTTGTTACTGTAAATAGTTACAAAGGCATGTTAAAAAATGCCAATTTTACAAACTGTCAATTATATTAGACAAAATAGTCTACAGCCATGCTAGCCACTCTGTGAGGCTTCTGAGGTCACAGTGGTGCTTTAGGCTGAATGCTAATTTCATCATGTTAATATGCTTACTATGTAAATTCTAACATGCATTTATATAACAGGTATAATGTTTACTATGTTCACCATCGCATTTTAGAGTGTTCTGACATCTGACAATTTGCAATAAACATAAAGCACAGCTGAGGCAGATGTAATGTAATGTTCTGCAGGTAGTTGGTAGTAATTACAATTCAACCTGAGACGATATGACATGTAAATGTAAATGCTGGAGCTGCTCCATATTTGTAAAACGCCTTTCTAGTCTTTTTTGACCACTCAAAGCGCTTTTACACTACCTCGCATTCACCATTCACACACTGAGCCCAAGTGCTCAAACAGAAACTAACTTTAAAACACAGTTATACAATTCGGGGTTCAGTATCAAGGACACTTGCAGCCTGGAGGAGCCGGGGATTGAACCGCCGAGCTTCCGATTAACAGGCTCTACCTCCTGAGCCACAGCCGCCCAGACATCTGATGGCAATCCATCTAATAGTTGTCGAGACATTTCACTAAAAAGCAAAATCAGGGCATCACTAAAGTAGGATTTATCTTCTGGGGACCTTGAATGTCTGTCCAACAGATGAATCCTGTATATTTTCTGATGCTCCTTTCCAATAATAGATATGACATTAAAAATTCAGCAACAATATTTCAGACTGGCAATTTGCAAGCAATCCACAGAAAGCAACTGTTAGAACAAATATTAACATGATGTAAGCGTATGGCATTTATGGCGGGTTCAAAAGAGAAGAGCTGAATGCTCACATACTTGCCAGAAAGAAAATGAGAACTGATATATGAAGTTCACCTCAACGTTCAGTGAAGCTCAGGCACATCACTTGATGAAAGAAAAAGCACAGACTAGGACTAATATGTGCAATAGAAGTAGGGGATGTGAAATAAGAAATTAGCTGCCCTAAAAAGGTAGATTTATACACAGAGTGACGTGTAATTAGCAAAGGTGTAAGGTGCATGTTAGTAGATCTAACAGGACTGCTTAGCATGCTGCTTTCTTTGATGCTTAATCAAAATCTGACATCTCTTGTGCTGTGTGTTTGTGTGATGTCAGATCAAGCGATCTAAAAAAATCACAGAAACGGGCGCAAAATACAGTGTTTCTCGTGTTTGCCATCAGCAATTAGTCTACTCCGCAAATTTGCCTGCTCCAAGGCTTGTTGATAAACGCAGCAGCCCAAACCCTTTTGAAGTAACCATTTTTAACCCTGGAAACTGTGCACTTATTGCATGCTACACTTACCAGAAGTCAGTTTGAGTTCTCCTCTTACAGTCGCATATGTCTAGAGTGATCTCTGTCATTTTTCTGGCTCATACTCACGCTGCCCTCTCTCTCGTTACCTACCTTCCCTCCTTATATCTGTCATACTCATTCCTCCTTCCTTTCACTCTCTCCCCTTTTCTATCCCTCCCTCCCTTTCACCTCTACTCATGTTTTCTTCCCCACATCTTCTCAAAAACACCTCTCTGCCTTCATACTCTCAATGCATTTTTCATCCACCCCCCCCCCCCCACACACACACACACCAACATCTCCATCCTTCCTTATATCCATGCAGCCTGTTCCCATTGATGATCACTTCTGCGGCCTGGACATAAACCAGCCCCTGGGTGGTTCCCAACTGGTGTCGGGTCAGACGGTGTACACTGAGAGCAGGGACAGGCTGACCTCTGTCACCTCCTACATCTACAATGGACACAGTGTGGTCTTCCTGGGGACCAAGAGTGGGCAGCTGAAGAAGGTGAGAGCAGTAATACAGTAACAGACACTGTCGAGCAAGACAGGTTTAACCTGCCTTTTCTTTCTCTACACTGAACTCAGAGACTCAGTCTGGCTGTTTACAGTGAATTGCTTATTCTTAATAGATGCAGCCAGATCCTCTTCATGACAAATTACGTCATTTATCTTAAGTGATTTCTTGAGGCTGCTATTTGTGACCCAATGGTATCTCTGTCTCTTTTGAAAGTTATCTTCCTGTTTCAGTTTTTGAATAGAAATGCAAAATGTACCCTGCATGGTCCCAGACCTCAGAATCGCTGCCTACATCTCAGGTTTCTACAGCGATTCAAATAGGTCTGAAGGCTATTTCTGCTGACTGGCAGAACAATCAACCAATCAGAGTTTAGTAAGTGGGATTAAGAATTGGAAAAGATCAATGGTTTTGGTGCTTTGTATACATATGTTCAGGTATATATCAATTTATATATATATTGCCAGATACCTGTGCACAAAATAGTTCTATATATCCTTTACTTCTGTCCAGCTGTGTTGTTCTTAATTGTTCTGAGCTGTCTATTTTATCTAAGTACATTGAGTCAAGTCGAGTCAAATTCCTTCTGAATATGATTCTGAAAGTTATTTTACGACAAAGCTAGCTCTCTACATAGCTAAATTAATAGAAATTAGTAACAATTGCTAAAATGCAAGTACTCAGTTCTATGGCACATTTATGTAATAATGATCTTTAATCCATTAACACTAATTAATGCAATAATCTGCTCAATGAATGCCCTAATTAGCATAACTGGTTATGTTCGATACATCATGGTGATTATGGTGGGACATTTGCAGCTGAACAAAGGTGCAGTAATCATGCAGCACTACATGTTGTGCTTCAGCCTTTGGACGGGTGCTCTTAGACAAGGACAAATCTGTGTAAATTTCCACTGATGACTACTTGAGCCAAAATTAAAGCACATGCCTGTTCCTTTACTTCCTTTGTATTAGCTGCATTACTAACAGGACATTATGCAGCTCTAGTGCCTCTTGTTTAACACCGTCCTGGTGGATTTTTGGTTTGAATAGCTTTTAGTATTACAGAGTACTTACAGGACAACTTCACTGATTTTGAAAATTATCTTTGTGTACATGACATGAATTTTTACATATTTATAAACAAAATGATCTTGTCTCTTTAGGCAGGTTCAAATCACTTCCCTAAATCCTTCACTGGTTAAAATACAATGATTTCCAAGAATATTTTGACTGTCTGACAAGTCTAATTTGTGTTTTCCTTGTTTCAAAGCCAGCCTTCTGTTAGATGTATTCTTTTGAAGTGTCTTATCGCATCTGGAAAGTATTCAAAATGCTTCACTTTTTCCACATTTTGTTATGTTACATACAGCCTTATTCCAAAATGGATGAAATTCATTATTTTCCTCAAAATTCTACAAACAATACACCGCAATGACAACGTGAAAGAAATTTGTTTGAAATCTTTGCAAATTTATTAAAAATTTAAAATTTAAAAAGCACATGTATTCAATGTAACGAAAAAAGTAACGAAAAGTATTCGTAGCTGCTACTCTGCAGCGCTTACATTGGAGCATTGAAGATGATACAGAGTACAGACAAGTGTAAAGGTCAGACTATGATTGAAAGGGTATTGTTCAAACATTGTGTCATTTGACCATGTCTGAAGACAAAAGTGGCCCGCTTGAGGGCGAAGTGAAATGCCTGCTGTCATAGAGAGAGGAGAGAAAGGGATAATGGTGCACACTTTCGGACAGACTCACCTGAAAGGCATTCATAGTGTCGATTCAAAAACTGATGAAGTAGCAATTACTGTAACAATTACTTTCAATCCTGACTCATATGCTGATCAGTTTCTCAATTAGTTTCTCCGTAAATTGATTAATTGTTTTGGCTGTAAAATGTTACACAATTGATAACTGACTTCATCCTGTCATTTTCTCTCTTTACAAAGACAAGTGTTGCAGTATGAGAGTCCCACCTGAAGAGAGGCTATGAAGTCTTCATGTTACGCGATAATAGAACCACATACAACATTATTTATGAGATGCCTACGGTGTTGGTTTAGATTTTTAGTTAAGCAGTAGATTTCACCTGTTGATAGCAGCACGCTGATAACGGTCCAAAACCCAAATATATTTAGTTTACTGTCATATATGACAAGGAAAATCCTCAAATCCTCACATCTGAGAAGATATGGTCAGCTTATTATTTTTGCTTGAAAAAAGTACTGAAACAATAAATCAAAAAAAAAGTATTTTATGTCAAGTGACTAATCAATTAATTGACTAATGGTTTCAGATCTAGACTTTTTTCTCAACTATGCACACCTGGCCAATCGCTGAGTGTAGTTGCTGGTCAGATTGTCGGACATAGCCCACCAATTCAGAAAGGTGCAGGGAAGGGGATTTCAGACTTTGTTTAAAGCATACTGACATCTTAATGGTCTATGGCATGCTTAACTGTGATATATTTAGGATGTTTGACACTCACTGAACAACAACTTTAACATGATATGCTAGTTAAGCAAAGTAAGCAAAATAAAATACGTTATAGATGAGTTACCAAATTGATGTACAGAAAAACAGGAATGAGGATCCCTTACACCATAGACATAAGATGACCTCTTTCTGAGAGGTTCATGAAGTTGATTTAGCTCGTTGTCCATCATGTTTAATTGAAATGCATGCTGTAATGACATATTATAAGTCAAGTTCTTATAAGGCTCATTCTTTGATCTAACTGGATTGACTTGGTAGCACTGCGGGCTCTGCTTACTGCACATACAGCATGCAACTGAGGAAATGTGTGAGAGGACTGTTGTGACATTAGCCTCGGGGCCTCAGTCTTATGAGGAGCAATCTGTCTGACACACACGCAAACACACACACACACACATGCACGTGTCCAGATTGGGAGCACAGATAGCATCACTGCAGCTCTTTCATTGGATAAGGCATTGGGGGAAAAGACAAGATAGCCTGACAGAAATGGAGAGAGAGAAAAAAGAGAACTGGTGACAGACTGTGAAACAAAGACGGAATAATGGCAATGAAAAAACAGAGACAAAAGTAAAAAGACAGGATATTAAGCCATACAAAGAAGGAGGAACAGATTTAGGAAGAAAGAAAAGATAGACCAAAAACAGAGCAAAAGTATGATTTGCCTGTGATCAGGGAGTGAGCAGTAGGTTTAGGTGAAGAGAGTGAGAAATCCATTATTACTGCTTTAAGTGCACAGCGTCCAAAGGCCAGAGTTTGCCATTACACTGACCGAGTGTGCAGCCATGATTCAGACTCCCAGGAGCCTCCGAGGAGCACGGGTCACCCCTCGAATCCTATTCCATCACCCCTAAATGGACAGGCTGAGTAGAAATGGGGCATGACAATAAATGTCATCAGCGGATCACTCCAGCAGTAGGGCCATTGCAAAGGTCAAGCCTGCCACAGAAAGGGTGTAAGCTGGGTGAAAGGTCACAGGGTTAACCAACAGTCTCACCATGCAGCATATGGATGTGTCTGTCAAAGTCTCTCGATTAGGCCACTCCTATTCCAGATATAACAGGACATTTCTCTCATCATCTGCCGCAGTTTTGTTGCCATAGGGGGTTGATTTTAGCTGAGTAATATGACCCTGTGGGTAACTCTGTGCTGAATACAAAAGGGGCTTTTACACTCGTGTGACGTATGCTAATGAGGTGAATCTAGGTAAAAGCCATTATCTCTTACTAATCCTTGTTTAATCTATTCCAGTCTGAAGGCAGGCATGGATAGATGCAACTTTCGGTGACACCGATAATACAGTTTCCAGTTGTTAGCAAAATGCTAGTGGGACCCAGGGAGTGCAGGATTAGCATTTCACATCAAGGTTTTAACCATTTATTGCCACACAAATGCGTATTTGAGTTTGAGCGGTGTGGCGCCTGCTCATATGATGATCTGGAACAAATATGAGCAAGCCTGACCTCACAAACCAGCCAGCAGAGGGACGCACCAAATGTTCGGCCACCGAAATTAATCGGCAGAAAATAGCAAAAACAGCACTTTTACAGCAATACAGAACAATTAACATTGACATGTTGGCATTGTGGAAGCATTTTAAAGTGTCAGAGAAAGATAAAGAAAGAGAAAAATTGCCGTTTGCAGACACTGTTCTGCTGTCTCCTAGAACATCCACACCATCTGTGGCTGACTTCTTAGAAAAGGCAACAAATGGTCTGACCTGCTGTGTTTCTGTCACTCATTTGTGAGAAGGCGATTAAGCTAGCTGCACCTAAATTTGGAGTGCACACGTATTCAAGCCTTTATGGTAACGTTTCATCCACAGAAACTGACCACTGCAAGCTGAAAGACAGGTTAGCAAATTTATCCTGTCATTTTCTCTCTTTACAAAGACAAGTGTTGCAGTATGAGAGTCCAACCTGAACAGAGGCTATGAAGTCTTCATGTTACGCGATAATAGAACCACATACAACATTATTTATGAGATCCCTACGGTGTTGGTTTAGATTTTTAGTTAAGCAGTAGATTTCACCTGTTGATAGCAGCACAGCAAGACAGATGTACATGATCAAGCTGTATCATGCATTAATTATCTTTCATCCACTCAGTGCATTAGAGCAACCATGGGGAAGTTTGCCTTCTCTAATTACTGATAGAGACTCCTGCCACGCAATCCCTGTGTTTTAAGTCTTTCATCCGCTGTGATATAGAGAGATGATCACAGTAAGCTGAAGGTTCACAGTGGAAATGGTTTTGGTAGATGTGGTTGACTGAAAAGCAGCAGATTAGTCTTTTCTTCAACTTTTACATGTTGTGTTCACTCTCAACAATCTCCACCAGCTTTAGATATTTGTAGGAGAAAACACCCGCAGCCCAAGCTGACCAATACCAGTTCTTTGAGTCTCCACATGGTATTTCAATGGCCTTGTAGCCCTGACATCTATAAATTAACTCTAGGCTCTATTAATGTAGTCCCAGACAAAAGTCT